TCTATACTTTCTTTTGTTTTGTTAACGTGGCCAGAGCATCTAACCTATATTTTTTTCTTACTATATGAGCTTCTAGGTTAATTAGTAAAAAATTTTTTTTGTTTAGTTCTTTAGTTTTGTTTTTATCCCAATTTAAAAATGAAAGAACAGGACGTGCACTTCCGACACATTTTATTGTATTACTTCCGAAAAGGCAAGAACGCATCGCAAGCACAAAAGAAGTTATGTGCTGTATATGAAGATGAAGCCTTAAAAGAAAGGCAGTGTCGAAATTGGTTTGAAAGATTTCGTTCCGGTGATTTTTCACTGAAAAATTCACAACGATCTGGCCGCCCAGTCGAAGTGGATGAAACCCATATCAAGGCCATTATCGATTCAAATCGTAACAGAACAGCACAACACGAGATATTGCAGAGAAGCTGCTCAATGTGTCGCATACATGCATTGAAAAAAAATGAAAAACCCTTGGTTATGTCAAGAAACTTGATTTATGGATCCCTCACCTGTTAAAGGAAATTCATTTGACGCAATGGATTAGCATCTGTGATTCGCCGCTACTGAAACGCAATGAGAATGATCCATTTCCGAGGAAGAACCTAGTTACTGGCGACGAAAAGTGGATAGTTTATAACAATGTTACTCGCAAGAGACCATGGGTGAAGCAAGATCAACCAGCCCAAACAGTATCAAAAGCAGCAGAGATTCACCCAAAAAAGATTATGCTGTCAGTGTGGTGGGATCACAAAGGAATTTTGTATTTTGAACTCATGCCGCAGAACCAAACGATAAATTCAAATGTGTATGTTGAAGATCTCGAAAAACTGAAGGATGCAATTGAAGATAAGCGGCCGGCATTATTAAATCGGAAGGGTGTTGTTTTCCACACATCTTTGATAACGCAAGGCCCCACACATCTTTGGTTACTCGGCAAAAATTATTGGAACTGGGTTGGGATGTTTTGTCACACCCACCATATAGCCCTGACCTTGCGCCTTCGGATTACCATTTGTTTCGTTCCATGCAAAACTCTTTAAATGGTAAATTTTTTTAACAACGCGGATGATGTCAGATCACACCTAATTCAGTTTTTTAATAGCAAAGACCAGACATTTTACGAAGGGGGAATTTTTACTCTGCCAGAACGATGGAAAAAGGTCATCGACAAGAAGGGCCAATATCTAATTGAATAAAGTTATATTTTTAAACAAAAATTCCCAATTTGCTTTCTTATTTGAAATCGGCAATGACTTAGTTGCCAACCTAATATTTTACCAATGAAATTATCGCTGCGCACCTAAGTGGCTTTCCTTTTTCTTCTAGGCAGATAGACTTTAAGGTCCTTGACATTTTGTCTCTTAGGTGCACTTTTGCATCTTTCTAATATGCCTGCCACTGTCAACTTTCGGACACCGTTGTCTAATTCCCATTCCGCATTCCTGTCCATGCCCCTTTTCGATGATCTCCACTTATTTTTATTGGAGGTGTTGCCTTCATTTGCAAAGAAAAGTGGTAAAACTCTGACATTAGCCGCATACTAGATATCTCATGGTTCAGTAGGTACTTTGTGTTGGTCTACCCTCCCTGTTTTACAGATTATTCTCGAGGAAATTATTCTTTTCAGATTTTTTCCCAATGAAAGCATAGAAATGCTTTGTTCCACTTACTGATACTCACACTGAGTATCTGAAAGGTCAGTTTTTTTCCTCCATAGGCCAGCTTATCGATTAAACTTTCCCAGGTAAATCGATGCTGATGTCCCACGAGGAGATTGAGATTTCTAATAGACTCTTGTTAATTAGAGCAATGGAATCGAATTTCATATAAATATTCTGATTCTGGGATTGCAAGTTTTCGTTATAACCCCTTGTCAACCTCAGTATACTTATGAGATTGATATTGCGCCACTTCTTTTTCTAATTCCAAGTTCAGTTACAAGGCTGCAACAACTGACACTTCTTGATATTAACCTAATACTGTAAGCGTTTTATCATCACGATTGAGATATTGATACCTTTTGCATATACACCCATTTATCAGGGGAATTTCTAATTAGATTAGAAGTTGGAACTCGCCGGTTGTGACATTTTTTATCCGATGCGTTGCGTTGCTCTTGATACATAATTATTTTCTTTTTTATTTACATCTAACACGATTCCTCTTATGAATATCCCTTTCTCATAGATTTATTAAATATTTCATATTTTGGGAATTCAGCCATTCATAAAATTTGAATATTAGGATATTACGTGGCGAAGTGGTGTGAAATTAAATTCATATTTGGTATGAAATTTGATTCTCTGACTGCACTGTTCATATCATCTTCACTGCCTCTTCTGTTGCATACACTATTGCATCAGCTAGTTCACTTTGCCAAAAGAGATTAGCAGTCTTCGACTTTCATCATAGTTTTCAGTTAGAAATGCAAGTTTCAGTTGTCGTCGCCTTCTTGGCAAAATTAGTCACGTCTAGCCAGTATTCATTCCTCCATCTCTCAAGGCCATTCAAGTACAAATGGGAAACGTCATTAGTATAGGATGTGAGGTATAAAAACAATACCCCCTAGAACATTTTGCGAGTGTGTAGTCGTGTTTCTTTCGCTCCGACCATCTTCGAAGGGAGTTGTATCTGCGCCCCTCTAAATCATTGTCATCTTTATCAACAGCAATGTATACGCGTTAACGCCCTTAACTCCCTCCTTCGCCCCTCCCTCCCCTATATGATTCATCTACGTTTGCTTACTAAATGTGCCAAAAATAAGTTCTGCGTGCCTCCATTGTTACATCCTCTTGGGATTAGATTAGTAGTATAATGGACGACTTTTGGTATTCCTTGTGATTTTTGACTTTCATGACCAATCTTTTCATCAGAATTTAGAGCAGCTCATTGGGTGAAAATTATTTCAGATGTAAAACTGCAAATTCTAAGGACCAAAACACTTAATCAATCCTATTGCTCACTTGCTGTGAATAACGTATGCTTCATTGGAGGAAAGAGAAACACACATTTGGCTACTCTTGTTGAATTGACCCTGCAGATTTGCAGTCGTCCATCGCATCACAATCTGATGGTTCCATAAGTAGTAATTACTCAAATTAGATTATGCAATTCAGTATGTAGTTCACAACATGAGGTGTATTTAGTTGAAGAAAGCTGTTTTAATCACTCCATATCAGCTTTGAAGCTTATTCCTGTATATGTATGATAAATTGTAGGGAACATATTAGTGGCAATAATTGGTTTCTACACTGTTGCGTGAGTTAGACCATTAACGACACTTTTTTTATTGTACTCTCCATTGATTCTATCGTTCCTCTTTGTCTGTGCCTAATTTCCGACCTCTCTGACAGACTATTCACTACCATTTGCTTTTACTTGCTTCACCAAGCATTACAGTTGATCTGGATGAATATGACATTAAATCACTCTTAGAATAAGCATATACATCTTTCTCGACGCCAAAATTTTTTTGATGCACAGTTTATCAAAACTTTCTCAGAGATATTCAGCACAGCTAAAAATGCCTCCACTTTCGTTGTCCATCTATAGCATAAAGTACATTTACCCTCTTTATATGTGCGTATATAATTAGCTGGCAGCGGATGAAGTGAATCAATACCTCTCCCCTCTCCCTGACTTCTGTAGGGTCTAGGTATCAAGTTCCATTAGAAGATCTGTTACTAACATTTTAGCTGTGGGAAGTTTTTTTGAGCCGCTGTAACGAGATATTTGCGGTCTATCTTCCTCCCTTCTGCTAATCAGAAGTAACTAGTGCTCCTGACAGTCCACTTCATCGGATGTGGGTCAATGAGCATTGATCTCGTAATCCTTGACTGCACGTTAGTCACCGACTAGCAAATTCCTTGTTATTTCCCAAATATTATTAGGTCATCAATGTTATTAGCTAATTTAGAGACAGAGCGTATGTGATTTCTACCTCTATTCCGAAAAGTCACTCAAACTATATGATGAGGAAATTTTGAGGGGAGGGGCGGGGTTGGGGGGTGGCGCATATTTGATAACAAACTAAGCGTTGGTTCATGGAAGGATGCTAGAGAGTGCTTAAAGGTAAATAAGCTAAGTTGTCTTTGTAATTCTAATTACTCATCTCCCTTCCCCCACCAGATTCGACGCGAGGCTCATAACCTGGGTCAACTCTCTCATCGAAATGTGGTGGAGTTTTTCGGGATATGGGAGACTCCGGCATCCTTGAGCCAACTTCCTGCTCTGGTGATGGAATTCGCCCATGGTGGTGCCCTTCATAGAGTGGTTCGAAGAAGACCGGCGGTTCACTGTTCCACACTTGCTGATTGGGCTCTACAAGTAGCTGAGGGTATGCGGTATCTTCATGAGAAGGTTGGACTCGTTCACCAAGACCTAAAGACTGCCAATAGTAAGTGGATTGATTTATTCATAATAATGCACAGCCTTTTTTTATAAATTAACAATAATTACAGAGTGCGTAAGGACATCGAATAATTGGCCTGCTCGGAGTGGGTGAAAACAGAGATTCGCTGATTTGAGTGTTTTATGGTCATTATTAGTTTGATGAGCTGTCGATACAATTTGTCCAACAGTTAGGACAGAGCATTGAATATGCGCTTTCTCCAGGAGTGTCATCAATTACATAGCTACTTATTGTTCCTCGATTGAAATATTGCACACTTGGGACAACTGGCTGAGCTAAGTCTCATAATGGCTGGCATATAAAGCTTGCGGCCAACGGCCTCTTGTTGTACTTATAGGTTTTCAGTGGTCGTCGCATGGCGTTAGCTAGTTTTCATGACCTCTAGAAGGCGTATCCATGAATATCAACGTAAAACGTCACAAGTTATTATCTAAAGTGTTTGTCTACATTTAAGTGAGCTATCATTAAGTTGACTTTGAAAAATATGATTCAACTTTACACTAGTGAAAAAGATGGTGTGATGTGCGTGTGTGTGTTTGTGTGAGTGAGTGAATGAATGAATGTATGCATGCATTGCATATAGTAAGGGCTCCATAAAATAAATATGAAAAACAAGGGTAGGGTGGTGTGTGTGTTTAAAATGAAGAGTTATTAATTTTCTTTCAATATGGTGGTATTCGATATGATGATCGACTGTTAAAAATAGTAATGCTAATCCTCTTTTTACCCTTTAGTTCTAATTCGAGAGCCACTGGTTCAATCCCCCGGACCAGATGATCTGACAGGGAAGACACTCATCATATCGGACTTTGGCATGTCTTGTCCAGCTGACGCCCTCAGTTCTCGGGTCTCCGGCGTTGGTACTGTCGCTTACGCTGCCCCAGAGGTCATTTGCATGGTATGTATTGCCTAATCCTCAAAGGCACTTCGTTAAAATGGAGTTCACCTAAACCTGTGGGTTAATGTCGGTTTTAGTCCTAACAATCTGTCTAGATTCGAAGGTGTGGAAAGAATGGCGAGGTCTGATGATGGTGTTTGGTGAAGCATTGGATAATGCGGGAAACGAACTGAGAATACCCCCTCCCTTCGCCCACCAAGAAAGAACCCCAGTCAAGGCACTTGGTTTCGACTAGATCATATCTTGGTACATTGCGACAGTTGCAATTAATAAGGTACAAAAGCTAGACACACCTAACTGCATGGTGAGGTCAAACTTACCTAAGTCGCAGTGTCTAAGGCCTTTGATCGTACGATAAGACGCAAATAGCCTGTATACTATAGTGATGCTAATTAATGGAAAATTTGGCTAGCATTTCCTGTTTCGCCAAGAAAGATGTTCACTATATAAAATTGATCTATGTATTTAGTTGATGATCCAATGAACTTTATTTATGAACTCTTGATTTTGAAGCTTAAATGTTTCCTAAGGGAAGAGAAGATCTTTCTTGGTTGATTTAATAGTCAAAGAGATGGAGTTGGGCATGCAATCACGTTTCCATAGGTCTTTGTTTTTAGTCACTTGTCTATTTGAAATTAATCGGTATTTAAATCAAAATGGGAAAAGCGCATATGACTTTAATTAGTATACTAAAATTCATAAATAAAATTCGTCATATTCACCTTGTTCTTTAATTATCAGACTGTTTGATCAATTTTGCGATTGCTAAGACTTCAGAAAAATTAAGCTGGCTTGACCGATCACAGTATTTAATCAATCAGCCAATAAGCTCTCAATGCTGTAGACATAATCCCACTCGTGACTCAGAAAGTAAATCAGTTAAATCTGCGCATTAAGATATTACGAAGTAAACTTCAATATGGGCAATTCCATTCTTCAAGCGAAATTTATTTATATCAAATGGTAGGCTTTATGATTGCTATCATTGACCCTTTAGTTGACTTCGGTATTCACAGAGGGGAGGAACAGAAGAGTGAGTCTCAGATATAAATGAGGCAGAAACAAAGGTTGAGAAAAAGGTAAGGTGAGTATTGTGGAAGTGGTGGAAAATGACATGCAATGGGGTCATGGTATTTTAAAGTCAACTGCCGGTTTATAAACTTTTTGGCCGTATGCGTATGCGTTGTCCAGTGTGCACTACGTGGAGGTAAGTGTATCGCACACCTCTACTTCAAGCGAATTAGTTTCGTTACCTCTTGCCCACCTTTTCCTTGTATATTGCTCTCCTTTTCAAGCGCTTTGTCTTGATTTAAGACTTTGGTTTTTGACACATGAAATTATGCTGGCTGTGTCTCTCAAACTTACGAATCAGACGTATCTTCTCCATTTAGAGGATGTTTAGTTTAGCTTCTGATGTGTGGTCCTACGGAGTCGTGTTATGGGAGATATTTACTATGCTTGAGCCTTTCAAGGAGCTTGATCCGGGCCAACAACTTGCCAAAATTGGCCGATATCGACAGAAACTACTCATTCCTCGGTCTGACATTGGCTTCTCCGAAACTATTGGCTCTCTCCTTGCTCGTGAGTTTCCTACTTGACTCAGCTTTATGCAGCAATATCAATAATAAGTAATTTATTATTCGTTTTTTGGTTTTTATGATCAGATTTATAAGATACTCTGGTTTGAAATGTGATGTATTCTTAAAAATCTACAAAAGGGGTGGATGACATTCGTTTCCTTATTATTTCATGCAAATAATTTATATTTCAATAGAGTCGAGAGCTTAAACATGTCCTATTCCATTTGAATTGCGGATTTAAGTTTGCTCACTTCTTACTCCATGGGGTTCATGATCCATTGTTCGAATATCATAACTTGTTCCCTGGGTGGGATAAGTCTTCTCATTGTGTAGTTTTTTTGCTTATTGATTATCTTACACTCTTGGTCATACCGTTTCAGTATATACATGAGTATGCTTATTTTAGCATTCACAAAAGTCTAAGTCTATCTGTTTAATAACTTCGTTAATGCTTTTCCGCTGTTCTTCTTTCGGCTTTATAAGTGATGTTTACTTACGCTATCTTTTTAGAATGTCCTTATCTTATTAAGTCCGTTGGATCAAAATTTGAACATAATATAATTTTCTAGGTTTATTCTTAAAATTAAATTAAAGCGTTCCGAATCCACTATGGGCAATATTCACAACACTTGACTTGGATTGTGGGAAGGCATTCTTGAGTGACTCTCTTGAGAAACCTTCTTTCTACCACTTCTCTTGTTGTTGGTATGTAACCATTGGTGATTGCTATCCTTATCGTTAGACGTGAACCGATGAGCATGAATTTTATGGTCTCTGACTTGACGGACGAGATCAGAAGTAGTTCTGTTTATCTCGAGAAATGGGATTGAAGCAGTCCTTGGACTTTTATTCACTGGAGTTGTCAGAATAGGCGGGACTGGACAAACGCTGCTGTTTAATCTAATTTATTTTGATTGTTCGATTGTTTCTCTTCTCTGCTTTGCACAAACTGAATGGAGTTTGCATAGAGCTGAAGATTTGTGAAATTTCCTTAATTTTCCAAGCTTTTACTACTATCACAGTTCGATTGTCAATTTGCCTCCATTTTTGGAGTGTGATTCGTTTTTTTAGATTTCTCTATGTTATGCAACATTTATGTTTTAGCTTTACTCAATTGTCTTTCACTATAAATGTTCCCCCTTATATCCTGTGGTGGAGTTTGTGCAGCTGAACGAACCCTTTTTGATTCGTTTCAAAACGAATGTCGCCTTCATGTTCCCTTTCGAATTGTAACGACCAAACCATTGAACCGATCTTTGAATCTCCGGATAAACTTCTTTCCTAATTTTTACAAGACTGTTATTATTATTATTACATCTGGCTTTCAAGTGAGTTTAGTGTAGCCTTGTTCTATGCTTTCTAATGGCAAACAATTTTGAAGAATTGAGACACTTCCCGTTTTCATTGGGCAATCTATCTTTGTAAAGAAGGTGCACTAGTGAAAGAATAAAATCCGAATGAGTTCATTTTTACATTTTGTTAATGTAAGCTACTTGCATTAATTATTCACATAGTATAAAATGTAAAACAGACAAATTCTCTTGATCCTGTTATGCATTAAAACAAAATCGCTTTTTGTTCATTCGTTTGGAAAACAGAAACCCAAACACTGAATTATAATTCGTTATTTGCATAAACCTTTGCAAGACTGCTCACTATGGGTCCTGTAGGGTGGACCTAGACGAATGGAAAGGGAGCTATTTAACCCAGTTAAAGTTCCTCTTTGTCATCCGCATTGCGTCGTTTGGGTGGGCAATTAATGCAGCAGAAAGCGACTTTACTGTCTGCTACTTCATTGAGGTATAGTAATCGGAAAATCTAGCAACTGAATAACAAACTCTGTTTTCAGAATTTCTGCAAATTATACACCTAACACTGTTAGTTAGTACACGATATTTACAATAGTGTTAATTAGCCCAACTACCATTTATTAGGATGCTGGGACGACGAGCCAGAGGAGCGACCAACATTCAGTGATATATGTAATTACCTCATTGAAGCCCAAAACGACGAATTTTTCTCCCTCTCTACGGAAGAATTCACGTCCCGTCAAGAGATCTGGGTGCAAGAAATATCTGGTGATGCTGAACTGGTTAGTACTCTCTCATGATGTATTATTGACGTCCTACTTAAATGATTTAAGTCGCCACATTCCATGTTTTAGAGCTTGCTAACCGAGTCCTGTTCTAGTGAAGCTAGTTCACCTCTTAGACGACAGAATGAGTTCCTTCAACAGGAGAATGCCAAAATGCGGGATGCTCTTCAAGCTCTTCAACAGAATGAGGCTAGATATCGAGGGACAATTGCTGGACTTCAGGTAAATCGTTTTTGTTCCTGTGTAATTATTCACTTTGCCATGATTTCGTTTTTAAACCCTAATCTTGAATGGTGAGATAACATCATGCAGGCAACCTATTGTGTAACTCATTTTCTTTCCGAATTTAACAATGCATTTGGTCACTAGGTTTGTATGTCGATGGGCATCGGACTCATGACTTCTGACTTCACAAACGAGCACATTTGTATTTTTTATTACTATCGCTTTTTATCGGTCCTTTTCTAGCTACTTTTTTATGTTTGGCTTTTAGAAGGACAATCAGATCCTAAGTGTACTTGTAGCAAATACCCTCTTGAAGAATACATTGGCACCTCCAGCTCCCAGGAAAAAGCCATTCATGTATAACCTCTTCCGTCGCAATGAGGAGAAGAAGAATATTACTCCTCTGGTTTCAGGGTCCACTAATGGAGCTGGTGACAATGAGAGCCCAATCACAATCGGATGCTCAAATGTGATTGACGCAGCAATCAACAGTGCCGCTGCTGATCGACCACCCAGAGACTGCTCTCCTGTTGTCAAGTCTTCCACCAGGCATCATGGAAAGACCTCTAGAAAAAGTATACTGGGCATCTCCTACCCACAAAAAGTCAGGCACATGGTTCACGTTCCACTAAATCTCTTTGGGGAATCGAATAATGATCTCTATCGTAAGTAAAATCTACATTTCTGATATGGCGTAGTTGAGAAGGGCATAAAAATTCGCAGGCTAGTATGGCGCTCTATGTCGTTGTGGATCAGCTCCACTTTAATTTGCCATTGAGGTCGGTTAATAAAGCAAATTTAATGGGATGCTTGCCGTTAAACGTGTGACGGGCGCAGTACGAATCAATTTAAGTCAATTATATGACTATATTTCAAATCCTCTCTTCTTCAGCTCCCATTTACCGCGGTAATTTTTCTTCTGGTGGGGCTTCTGGTTCGCCAACCAGTCCTCTTCCTCCTATTGGTGGTGGTTCGAGCTCTATCTCCAATTCGTCCTTTCCCCACCGACCACGAACAGACAGTCAATCCACCGACCCTCCACTTCATCCCAGCAGCTACGTCTTCTCGCCTTCTGACGAAGCAGCAGATATCGCCCATCAATTCGCCTTCCTCTATACGCAGAATCACAATAACGGTACAGCAGCCTCTGGAACTTTGGGCTCTTTTCAATTGCCACTTATCAATCAGCAACAGCAGAAATATGCCAGCAAGTCAGGCCGTGTCAGCGCTAATACTACTACTGGTGGTTTGACAAGTTATAAGAGTGCACCAGAGCTTTGTGAGCAAGCCGACTGTTCGAAGGTCAGGTTGAATACTTTTGAAAGCGGCTGGCATACTGTTTCACGTGAGTCTTACGTCTTTATTTGGAAAGTCGGTTAGAGAGGAAGAGAAATCTAAAGAGTTTTAGCACTGTGAGGATCATCGTTAATTGATCATTGTCTTGAGCGGTCCTTAATGTGGGTAAATCGTACGGAAATAGGGGTTTTATAAGTATTTCGCCTGAGTCCTAATCTATATCGACTTCGATATTTGAATCGGTCTAAAGTTCACATGTCGTATTCTTACGATTGATATTTGGTTGAAATCATCACCAGTTATATCTTTCTCTCCATTGTTCAACATTTTTCTCATTGTCTATAGGGGGTTGTGAATTTTATGCAGCCAATAGTACTTCCGATCGAAAAGCCATCGTGTCGTCATCTTCAGGCGTAACGGGTGGTGGAGGAGGAAGTGTTTCTACGTCAAAACGCCATCGAATTGGTCTCTCTAGTCTCTTTCATCCTTCTCGAAGCAAACATAATAGTGGCTCAGGCAAACCCTCGTCCCCATCCTGTACTACTAATGGCACAGATAACTTTATTTCTCCTCTGACTTCACCACCCCCCGACTTCTCTCCTACTTCCCCGAATGCATTCCATTCTACAACACCTACAACTACCTCAGCCGTCACCTCACTTAGCACTTTGATTCCAGGTGTTCCATTACCAAAAAATCGGTCTTCCTCTTCGAAATCCCCCTCGGGTGGCAAAGTATCACACACCACAAAACCCAGACGCCTTCTCCACAAGATCTTCCAATCGGCGGATAAGAATGGAACTGGTAGTGGAAGTAGGCCGAGTAGACGAGTGAGTATTTCTAATGGAGGCACGAGGAAGATTTCCGGCAAAAAGACAAGGCCAAAAGAGTCGCCTCCATGTAGGGATTCCACCCCATCAGATCCAATACTTCCACCAGATGGATGTAGTGCTATATTAAGTAGTCTTGATGACGAAGAGGCGGTTGACAAAAAAATGCAGTCTTCTCAGTAAGTTTCCTGCTAAAAACAGTTTGTTGGTGCTTTTACTTTTCATAAATTATTATAATAATTTTTCTTGGTGGAGGCAGGTAGATTTCCACTATTCCTAATTTAGCTCTCAATGGGGTGTTTTAACCCATTCTACAGAGAGGGGTAGCATTGTAGAGCCTCCTCATTGAAAAAACTTGAATTCTGCTTCTTTTCCATTGCTTTGACTCTGGCCATGTGTTTACCTAATCTGCTCCCTAGACATGTACTGATTGACATCAAACCCATGTCCTCGGCTTCACAGAGATGGGCGAAATAACCGCTGCTTCACCGAACATATTATCAAATCACTTTCAGTTAAAGAAGGGTCGACATCGCTCTTCGCTCTTTTAAAATGACCTTTTAAGTTATCTTGATCTTTCAATTTGATACTAATCGTAAAATATTCGACGTATTGATATAATCAAGTCTGACTATATTTAAGCATACAGCTCTCTGTTTGTTCTCTACTGTGTATTTTTTGCTCTGATTTGCTTAAACAATAATTATTGGTTCTCTAATTATCCTGTTGCTGTGATTTTTACACTTTAATGGTAAGCAGCCAAGCTTTACCTCGGAGCTTCCAGGAGGTTAAGTTTTTGTTTTCAGTAGGTATTGTAACTTAGCAGCTGACTGCCTTGCCCTCGATACTTGTCCAGACTTGGAGCTGTTAGAAAGAATACGGGTTTGAATGGAATCATATATCATAATTATATCTCTTTTCAACCTATGTACATGGATGATTTCTTTCTGTCGTTAAATGTATCCGTCAAATTCAACTAAGTAGTTTCTAATGATGACAATATGATCACTTCATTTCTACTTACGAAGAACGAAATTTAGATACATTTGGAACACCAATAGGACAGTTGGTATTGTATCGGTGAAGTTAGGCTATCTATTTACGCAATAATTTTGAACACTATCCGTACTGTTCACTTATTTCTAACAGGCTTTATGATGGTTGCCATTAGCCTTTTAGTTGACTTCGGGCCTCACAGAGGGGAGGAACGTTAAAGTCACAAAAAGTGGAGCGGGAGGGGGGGGGCAGAGGAGTGATTCACGGACGTAAAAGAGACAGACACAAAGGCAGGGAGTAGAGTAAAGTGGGTACTGTGGTTGTGGTGGAATATGACATGCAGTGGGGTCATGGTAGTTTGAAGTCAGAAGTCAACAGCCGGACTTACGTTGTCCAGGTTGTACCACGTGGAGGTAAGTCTATCACTCACCCCACAGTTAATTATAAAATAAGCTATTGATCAAGTTATATTTTATTTCCATATAATTACAAATATTTAGAAATATGGCCTTTATTACTCTCGAATTTTTGCCCCTGAATGTTCCACTTATTGCACCATTCATTTGATGTTATTTGTATGCTATCTCTGTGATAAACAATTAAAAATAATATCTTGTATTTGTATCATCTTTTTTGACTTCGGCATTCTTTTTACCATACAGGTTGATTATGAATGTTTCCTCCTAAACCATTATGGGATTATTTTTTCCATGTGTTCCAAAGTTCTCGCAGTCAATTAGATAATGTACGGTTTGTACTAAGCTTTATTTCGGCCATGCAACTTGACTCGACCAACTATAGGTAATTTTACAGTTGTGCTAGGTAGAAGCTGCTGTTTGACAAGCTTTTTAATTACATTTCTATTCGTTTCGATTCAAGGGAACATTTTACGGGATCGCTCAAGCATTGATTGATGAACAAAAAGACTTGCTACTTGATCAACTTTAACAAATACAATTCATTATGGCTGACAGAGCTGCTGCTATGTCACAATTAATCTCGAGAATATATATAGTGGAATCGTGTGCCTTCTTGACCTTTCAAAGAAGGAAATTAAGTGCCAAGACCAGCCCTTTTTGGTGAAATAATACAGGTTCATTAAGCACTAAATATAGTAGAGACAAGCATTTCCTGAAATCCAGGAGAGGAACCATAAAATTTGATTTTGGAAGACAAATTGCTCATTCTTGTAAATACTGTACAGGACATTTTTTACTCCTCGACGTTTTTCTCTGCATCTTTTGATCCAATTCCCTTCATCATTCATTGAGCTTTCCACAAAGGAAAATTGCGAAATTCGCTTCAATGTGAATGATTAATGCCGTGCAAGTTTAAATCCTCTGGCTTGGGAGGTCAAAAGTGCACATTACCTGCCGTGCCCCAGATACTCCTTTAGCTATTGGAATTTATGGTAAATATTTTTTCATTTTAGGTATGAAAGGTTTTGATTGCATACCGATGTCACACGGTCTGGTTTTTCTCATATTTATTTAAATATGCATATATATATTCGTGATCACGTAAATTTCATTTTTTTACAATTTACTAGTGTTTCTGGAAATTTCCCACTTTTTGACCACTCGAATAGATGGTATTTTACATTTAATTAGGCCTTGTCTAATCTAACATTTAATGTGTGAAAATAACCGGCTATTGATTAAACAAGCTTTGAATTGTGGCCAACTGTACTTTCCTCGGTATGGTCTCACTCACCTAACTATGTTTTGGGCAATACTTTGAATATCCAAGATCGCTGAAATTAGTCAGTTCCTAGTTCTAATCCATTCATCCCTCTTTCAGCAGCTTCGCTCTCCCGATTGCCGAATTCCCCCCTTTGCCTCCGTATTATCCGCAAAAGACCAATCAGAACCCGACTATACGAAGACGTTTGATTGATTTGATTTCCCCACCATCTTCAAATATACCTTCAGCTACTCGTGGTGCTCCACCTATTCCCCGTCCATGCACCCTTACGTCCCGTTCAACTGAAGGTACTATCGAATTCAAGGGGAGTCTTGGAGCAGGACCACGCAGACGTCCTTACATTCCTCGTCTCAAGTCGCAGAGCCTTGATGTCCTCTATCACTCTGACGATCATCCAGATGTAGAAAAGCAGCGACAAGGTTCTATTTCAAAGGAGGGAGGGGAGAATGGTGATGCTATTGAGCGAGGTGGAGATGGAGAAGCAGGAGGCGATGAGCCTGTGAATCCAGTTCCCATGGCTCTGTGGTCAGCTCTGCAGATTGCTTCCATTGCCCCTCTGCTTTTTGATTGTCAGACATCTGCTCCTCTTCCGCCCCCGCCACAACAGCAAAATCATTCCAATACTGCACCGCAGTCAGCATCTTTTGCCAGGGTTACGTTCTCCCCATTTGCGATGGATGAGCTTGATGTAAAAGTGATTTACTTAAATATTAGTCCTAAACTTAGAATGTCTATGGTGTATGTATAGCGGTATATTGGACAAATATAAGTTTGAAATTTCTTCAATGAGCAGTATGATTAATGATCGAGGCAGTCCCAATCTTCGAACTGATTTCCATTTTGTATAGGTCGCTACTGTTACGACCAAGTGAGGCTATAGTTAACCAGACCCAGAAAAAGGGAGAAGACCCTTAGCCCACAACAACGACGATGATCCATTTCACTGGTTTTAGCAAATGCTTGGCCTTGTTGTTAGCCAGTACTTACAGCTCTAAGGAAATTGCATATCCATGCTCTATTGTTGAAAACCAATCATGGATAATTTAGTATATAAGAGATGAAGATTGAGCATGGAAAATATTCTAGTCGTTTTCTTACAACATCGGTAACTTCTTTCTTACGTTCAACAGCAGGCAGAAGACGTCCTTGGCAAGGCCCAATCTTGTCTGGGTCGAATCTCCTCAACCCTAGCTTTAAGCCAAGCCGCCTCGTCCTCTGCTATGAGAGAAAGGAGTCGTCAACCCACGCGTCGCCATCAGTGGAACACCCAACGTGAGCTCTCCGCTCCCGCACCTAGCTCCTCGCCATGGCAGCGCAAGCTGAGCCAACTCCCCCCGGTGTACTACTCGCCACCTCCAAGTGCCGGTAACGGGGCGAGTCGGGAGGCGTGTTGTAAGTGTGGCTGTCATTCAGCTGGCGGTGGCACCATTGATGTTGGGGTGTCAAGGAGTCGACATTCTTCCACAACGACAAATTCTTCCTCACAGTCTCCATCGCGTTGGTTACCTGTGGAAAACCCAGTGGCTCTTTCTCGGGATGCTTATCTCAAGGTAGGTATTTTGCTCACACGTTTATTGGTCAACTTAATCACTATGACAAGAAGCTTGTTAACATTAAAGTAATAAGAAAAGATTATTCAAGAAATCAAAGTTAACTCATTCACTTACTCTGAATTCTAGCTTTGTTAGATTGAATCTTTATTGTTTTTCAATTGATGTTTGCAAGATTCAATGCAATTCAAAGTCCAAGCTTATGACTCTGATCCTGGCTTCTTAACTACAGCGTTGACTTTCTGCGTTGTATTCAGAGCTGATTAATCAGCAAATCAAATTAAAATTATGCTGTGATTTTTCGACGAGTAGAATTTGTTATTAATACCGAATTAACACGGCGAGGGCGGGGAATCGATTCTGAGCTTTCAATGGTTGGCATGGCGTTTTGCCCTCCTATCATATTCTTGTTTGCGGGACTAATAAAAGCAAATTAATTCAAACCAGTATCTGCACCGATTTTCATTCACTTGTCTTGATGACTAAGCTCTAACCGAAATCCCCATATTTTTCAGGAATTCAGATTTTAAGCGGGGGGAGGGGGGGGGGAAGGAATTCTATACTGATATTTTCCATTTGCCTTACTCATTCCCCTGGTAGTAGAATTCCTTTAAGAGTCTGACCAAGTTAAGCCTAGAAATCACCTTTCAAAATGGATAATCATCCTACTGGTTGATGGGATATAGCAAAGTCCTCAGCGCTATGAGGAGAGTTGAGCAATTATGTATTGGCCAAAATAGCGTAATGAGAGTATGTGATAAAGAATTTGGATGGTAAACCTTCAAGATCAAGTGCGTGGAAACCAGGTAATGTGTTTGAAAGAAGGCGATTAGGTACGTTGGCAGAGTTGTGTGATTTTGTTGTCGTTGTTGCTTGACACGCAGTCTGTCTCCTTCATATTTAGTGTTCATGAAGTCTGTAGAAGCTCGAAGGGACTCACAAATTTCTTCTTTGTTAGCCTTGATGTTTATTTGTACTTTTCCTCATGTGTTAATATAGCAAATTAATGTCATATTTGTTTTACTGAAACTGATTGGCTACCTTTTTCCTTCTTCCAGGTCACTCAGGATGGCTATCTCAACCGTGCTACCGTAGACGACATCCTAGACGATGATGAACTAGCAGTCGATGAGGATTTGGTTGGTGATGTCGATAATGGCGACGGAAATGATTTGACTATTGAAGCACGACCTTCCCAATCCTCAATCCTTCTTGCTCGATCTCTTCGGGGGACAGGGGGTTTCTCTCCTTCCACTTCTTCTCTCTTCCCTTCTCCCATATCCCCCACACTCTTCCAGAAACAACAAGCATCTGAACAACAACAACTTCCTGTCGCCAACAATCAGAACAGCAATCTTCAACAGGGTGCTGAGGGAGAGCATGTTGATGATGACGATGATGATGTTGTGGTTATTCAGCTCATTATTCAATCCGAAAATGATGCGGGTGGAGATTGTGAATTGGAAGAAGGGACTGGTGAACCAAGTTTTGGGGCCGGAGAAGCGGCGGAAGATACCTCGGCCCTCTATGAGGAATTCAAGTCCATCTCCTCGCACCAATGGATCCCATATAGAGATGATGGCACTGAAAAGTCTGATGTGGGGGTGGAAGAAGGTTGGAGAAATGGATATGTAAGTTGTTTAACTCTGCTGTAGCTCTTCTTCCTCAGGTGTTATAAAGTGCATTTTGTTTGCTGCTAATAACCCCTGGTGCCCTCTTTTTTTCAACTAAAAATCGGCTCGGAAAATTGCAGTCAAATTTTCTTTCTTTATGTCAATGCCTCTACACATTCCTCTTCAAGAGATGTCAGGAACCCGTTGCATGAATTTATTTGCGCAACAATTCCCAATCCTTCTTATGTTTTATCCGCTAATCATACCTTCTCTATGGTAAAGCAAAAAGAAAGCTTTCAAACTCTTAATCACAAGGAACCATCCACACACTTGGCAGTCTTCTTTGCTTCCATTTCACCACAGTACTTCGACCTTTTCTTTTTATCGTTGATTAGACTGCGCTGACCGATTTCTGCTTCTTTCTCTAAATGAAGAGCCTAATTTTCCATCTTTTGAAAAAGAAATCACGTTTGTTTTCTCTTATCTCTTTGGACTCCCATATTCGTTTATCCTAACTCAATAATTTACGAGTTCGAATAGAAGGTGATGAGGAGGCGGTTTTTATATTTATAGGCTACTATTTGAAGACCAATTTAATCCCGGTAGTTTTACGAATTCACTATACTTATGTACCAACACCTCAATGCATTCCCGATTCAAAGGCGACGAATGTAGGTTCGATTGATTGTAGTCCATAAATTTATGGCTGTCCGGACTGACAATTATAAATTTCTTAGAATATGCACTTCACATGAATAGCATGCTTATCTAGTTGGAGACCATGCGTTTGGACTTCCTTATGCGTGGCACAACTAATGATCGATCAAGGCGACCCCTTGGCTTGAATTGTAACTACGATTATCGGCCATTTAAGACTGCACTTAAAGTCAATGCACCAAGATTGTTATTGTTTCCAATAATTAAAACGGCAACCTTCACGGCCACTCACTTTTTTAGTTAATCACGGAATCTGAGAATTCCAGCGGCGTGTTATCATCTCCGACTACAGATCGTCCCAACGAATTCCCCTCCATCCCCTGTCGTCGAAGAAAAGCCTTTCGTTTGAAGGACAAACCCGAAGGTCTACTAAGTTCCCCTGAAGATGACGGTGACAATGGAGGCAGTGATAAACCGGTCCTTCGTTTATGAGCTACCCTTAACTCTGCATTTAGTCTCCTACCCCCAGCCGGCTTCGCTATTTCGCTTACACTTATTTCTACTTTTCTTCCTCTCCTACTCCTTTGTACAGTTTCGGCGAAATGTGATAAATGCTACTACTACACTCATCTAAAAAGAGCACGAGTTCCTTTTTTGGTTTGCATATATACAAATGTATATTTCTATGTACACAGTCAATGGTAGTGGGGGGTGCCCATAAGAGGATCTAGTCTATAAAGGCCGGACGTAGTCGGGCGTCTCACTGATTGAGCTATTTTGCCGCCTAGCTTGGCGCAATAGGACGTCGTAAGTTGTGAAATGGGTGAGGAAGGCAGCGGGTACAGCAATTCCTTGAGCTCGATAGACTAATTGTAGATTAGAGCCGTTTGGTTTGGAGGATGAAAGACCACCAAGTAGACGAAATGATGATACAGAGAAGCGACCAATTTGAGAGGTGAATGAGATCATGGGACCATGAGGGTAGATCTAGAATTTAAAACCCCATTTCTTAGACATAGGGTCTACTCGTAAGGAAGAACAATATTTTTATAGAACTCACCTGGACATAATTTCCAACGCGAAAAAGTGTGCACTTTTTCTGACTGCTTTCATCATCGAAGCACAACATACGATAGTCATCTTGCATAACCTCCATACAACCTTTCCTATCTAAATCCAAGCACTCAAAGGGAAGGGCTTTAGCGGAGATTGCCTGTCCAACTACTGAAATGGCACGAAGGTCGTGTTCAGAAGGACTCCAAGAGACCATTTTATCAAATTCCTCCGTGGTCTCAAGCTCCATTCGGAAATCGGCAACAAAACTACCAGATTCTAAGGGGGTATGATGAAAAGCAAGAAGCCGCATCGGGAAGTGTTCTTTGAATGCGGACTCAACAGCAGCTGCCAAGACTAACTGACAAGAACGCCAGAAAGCTAAGTTAGCTTCAGTGGGATCCACATTGATATCCTAAAAAACGCCAATAATACAGTAATAAAATAAAGTACAATAATTTAACTACCTTAAAATGCACGAAATCCAATTTCGCATCTCGCGTTAAAGGACGGTGCATATCATGGGGACAGCCATCCACGATAGCAATTACGCTCCTATCGCATAGCATCTGAGTCATATGCTTTGCACAATCAAATGGTGTTGACAGGCCTTTAGACATTTCCAATTCTGTTCCGGGATGGGGTTGTCCGTTATACACAACCTTGATTAATTCTGGCCTGGGAGCCATGTAATAATTACGCTCAGTATTTTGAGACTTAATCCACCTTTCGGAGCGACTTACGATTTCACATGGGTATTCCACATTGGCAAGTCGACTTGAGACCTTCGTGGCATTGACGATGTTACTGGCAAAACGACGGCGGAAAAGAAGAAACATCACAAGCGGAACGTGAACTAATTAGAGGAAAAACCGTAAATGAGCCTGAATCTCAAATATTATAAACAAAATATTTGTATTTATTGAAATAGCAAGTAAAAACATTGGTTAAATTAGTTCAGATTTTAAATTAAACAACAAATAATTTTTAAATTTAACAGTGGATTACTAGTTAATAGCTTCGAATCCAAACGTAAACACCAAAATCATTTTCTTTTCTGGAATACAACAAAAGTGAAATGAAACACAGTCGCCCCAGGCGAAATTTAAACAGTGTTCTCTTTTGGTTTTGAAATATTTTTTAAATTTCCAATGACCCTTGCACCTAAATATTTGAACGCACTTATATACATATGGAGTATCGGACACTTAAAATATTCGCTTATGTCTATTCCCTTAATTTTCGGTTTAGATAGAATTTTCCATATCGTATCTCCCAATAATTTGACTTTATTAAACTTGTACAGTTAAGGGAAGACTCAAAGGTAATAATTTTAGAGCAGTATGAGTAAGTCCGAGCTAGAAATATATCGAGTGAAAAATTAAATAGCATTTTCGTAAAACCAACTTAAATTAAAAATAACACGTTTAAAAGACCTCAAAAACAGAAATTCTCGTATTAAACTCTTTTATGAAATCTGTCGAGTTTCGACCTATCGAAAATTATATCGACCTCACCAGCATTTCATAAAAATTCATCTAAGCATGCCAATGGATAGACTTGGAAATATATTAAGGAATCGAACCATATTTCTGTCTTTTTCTCTGTATAAATAAAGCTTCTATAGGCACTGACAGAGAAAAAGTTATTTCGCGACCTGTTTGGGTCGATTACGTACCCGAATTTTAACTTAATGTGGGTATTAAGCAAACCATAATTCATACACACCGATTGCCTTCTCTCGAGCTGACTCCTGATGGAAATTAGAATATCAAACCATGCTATCACCAATTTTAATTTTTATGATACCTTGGTACATATTGCATCTTTGCTATATCTTGTAGAATTTGTACCCTTTCACAATTGCTTGCCTTATCTAAATGGTACAACGAATTGACAAATCTATTTGGACCCCTTTACGTTGAATCAGGAGTTTAAGTTGAATTGACAAATTCCATTTCTCATGCATAGCACCATTCACTTGCTCCCATGATTCAAGATTTGTCAAAATAGAGCACATCACATTTTATCCCTCGCTAATAATTACGAGTAGGATAAATACCTTATTATCCCTTATTAATTACCATTTGTATAATTATATCAGCTTTCAATCGCATTACTTTCGTAAGTAATTGTGAATTCGTGATCAAAATTATTTTGATTAAAGCATTTTATTTCCTTAGAAATGAGTGATAGCCTGGTTGTGTGAGCCTTGCTAAACGAGAAATAATTTTTTGGTCTTATCGAAAGCCATTGGCATAGTTTGATGTAAAGGCTTCAAAGTGGTCTGAACGATTATTTGTTTAGACAAAATAGTCAATGTAACCTAAATAGCACTGAAATGCAAGAAACAAAGAATAACAGCTGACCTGTCCATGTTACACAATGAATTATGCCTCTTATGAAGAGTTTGCGCTTCACATCGAATCGAGTAGGATTTAAGGCATCCGAACTCCATTACATGCAACTTTTAGACCACCCCCTCCGTTTCAATGTTTATTAGCCTGAAAAGTTGTAAGATTATTTAGGTCAATATTGAATGCCATATTTTATTCTTATATGATTTTATCCTCAAGTAAAAATATACAATAATGTGCAATAACCGTAATTCAAACTATATTCGAACAAATGAAATGAATCGAAAAACAAGTAAATGTACACATGAAAATATTTGTCAAATCGTTACAGAATAGCACAAATTAATCTTCCTGACCGTCGTTTACACCAGGAGGAAGATGGTACGCATGCATTCTTGATTCTAGGTGCATGAAACACCAAATTAAAACTGAATATAGGTTACTGAAGGCAACAAAGACAACAAATAAGTGTAGGAAAATGTTAACAGGTTCATCGGGGAACGAAAGACACTCAGGCGTGAGAGTTGAGGGGAGGTAGAAGGGGGTGATAGGAATGCAAAGGGATGCAAATCGATAGATCAACTAGTCAATATCAGAATAGATCATTTCGGGAGCGGTGGGGATTGCAACAGGAGAAGGTGATGCTGAGGATTGCGAGGTGAAAACAAAGGGGGCGGCTTTACAGGGTGAATCGAGAGGAGTGCAGTTAAAGGCCTCAAATGCGGCCTTTAGAGTACTCTCGTCCGCTCGATGTTGGAATATTAGTCTCACGGGGGGTCCTTCAACTGGATGGGCACAGAAAGGGCACTTCGGCATCATGGGAGTCTGATTTGTCACTAGAAGCTTCAAACTGGACCAAAATCTGCAGGAAAAAGGCAAAATTAATGGAAATAAATCAAGCATGACAGAGAAAGTGAAGTAAAATAATAGTGTGCAATGACGGAGAAAACCAATTCCAATTTCTTAGGGAAAGATGATCGGTATCAGTAAAATGTCATAGTCAGCTAATTAATTGGTTAGATCTGAACATAGTGGAAAACAAACCTATCCAAGAGCATAAAATTCGAGGTGTTGGAGCATGGCCCACTGCATTATAACAGAGTTCTCAATAATGAACGACATTGGTCATTTAACGCTGACCAATCCCATAATACTACAAATTATTAAACAATTTTAGACTTCCCCCAACTCCAATGCTTGGGCCTGACTTAAACGTTCCAATATTAGATTTAATAGAGCGGTTTTAGTTCCTGTGCGAATACGAAGTGCAACAACATGAAATGAAGCAAAAATTTGGGGCATGAGGTAAGTGGAGATAGACACTTATACCTGTGAGAAAAAATGTTAACAACCATAAAATAGGGGGTGCATTTGAGTGAGTCAACAGGTGAAGTCGTGAATCAGAAAACCACTCATCCATAGCGAGTTAGTACAAAGGGAATAATGATAAAATTAATCGAAATAGAAACAATAAAAATCCCATCAAAGGTGGACATAAGTCAATTAAATCGAATATTAGGGGAGCAAATGAGCTTCCAAGTTAATTGGCAAGGTTGCTTTAGCTTAATTCCGAGCAAATGAATTCTACCGGTTAATAAAATAGAATTAATTAATTGATTAATTGGAAGATAAACTATCCAAACGGCACATACGAGTGCTCTCATATGAAGTCGACTAGCAATACATTTTGTGAAAAACATTATGCCCAAACTAACCAGCAAAATTGAGCAACAGGTTCTAATTAAACATAGTTTTCATAATTTAAGTAAAAAATACTTTATAAACCCAAAATAGACAATTTATTCAGGTTGCTAACATTAAAACGTCATTAGGAATTTAATTAATTGACTTGCAAAATAAAGACGTTTCATGGAGGAAATAGCTTCATTCTGGGGGCCTTATTATTAAGGGAGTTAAATAATACCTGTTAATAAAGATTAAAGGAAAACAAAAGCAATTGTTATTAAAGATAATACGTTAAAACGGCGATCATTATTAAGCCGTAAAATGAAATAAATTCATTAAAACAAAGTGAGTGTGTTTCCCTACACAAAAAGCATTGAGGTAACGTACATCTATAACCACTTTCTAATTAAATAAGAATTAAGGCGAGAAAAAGGAAGAATACATTCCATAATGAGAACTGCGCATTATACTCAACCAATAGGGTCAATATCTTGGCATTGGGGCAGCCAAACAAATTACATTTTCAAAAAAGCCAACAATACCCCGATCAAATTCATTAGATGCAGTCAATTAGTAATGGAGATGAAACGCACGTTTATCTATTTGAATGATATGAGTTTGAAACCCTCTATTTTACATTTAGGAACTGGAACTAATTTCAACCATCAACTCAAATAAGTAAAAAAATATTACCTACGAGGAAATTAAAAATGAGGCATTTTCTAACACGAGGTAGTCTAAAAGGCAGGATGAAACTAGCGTAACTAGGGAATAAGTCTTTATTAAGCTGGATTCGAGACCCTTCATGCGGCTTACAGAAATCAGAAGCAGAATCTATTACTACTTTCGATAAAGATCCAGACGAACTTTCAGTTCGAGATTATCTCAAAACCGAAGGGTTACATGTAGAAAGAAGCAACAACTATAAGCAGAGAGTTAGAAAAATTTATACTTTCAGGACGAAATTCGCAAATATTATCTGGTTCCCCTCCAATATAAGCCTATCAGGTTGGTTCACGAAGCCAATCATGAGAAAATTCCACCTGCTATGCGATGCCTTCAATTGAAGGACGTGAAGGAAGCAATAGAAAAATCACAACTCACCTAACGGTGGCCTCAGAGGCGATGTGTCCACAGGGGTTGAAACAATGCGATGGTGCACCTCGATCCACGTAAAATCCAACTTCCTCACCGATTGAAAGTCGCACAAATCTTGAAGATTGTCTGCAAAGGGGGCAAGTTCGCTTGTCTCGTTCGCCCACAGTACTACAGCAAGGAAACAAGACGATTATTTTTATTTAATGTTCACTATTCATCTCTTTCCGACAAAATGCTATGAAGCCCCATTTAGTCAATTTGACGATGGAGCTTAGAATAAAAGGCAAAATTAATAAGCCCTCTTGAAAACGGAGATTTGTGCGAGTAACTCGAATTGCTGATTTGTGACTTCGTTTTAAAAGTTTCATATTGGAAGTGATTGCCCTAGATGTAGTATTCGAAGAGCAAAAGTTCACGTTGATTTATTTCCATTAATTCACCTTCAACAGGTAAATCCAAACTCTCAAAATAAATATCCATTTTTGAGCTCCAAGCCTTTACGTTAATGATTAAGTTCCTATGTACCTTTATCTCAAAACTCCTACCTACAAAGTCCAAACGATTTTAATTTTTTTCCCATAACTGCCATTCTATTTACAAGTATACTCACTCACATGCATACAGGCACAGTGTAGACATTTAATCGTTTGTGCACTATATTATCCCCACCCTACTGTCTTGGTCCCTTCCAGTGGTTCATTCAATACCTACTCGCTTTAAACGTAACTTCTGCAACCTGCTTTGGTTCATTAGTACCTACAAATTTGTAACTCAACAAACTGGTGACCTTCAATTCTACTTTAGGTATCACAGCGCATTAGTTTTTTCACATAAAGTGCTTCTAGTAGCATTTTAGCATTCGAGACAACCTTAATGTCATTATCTATTTCCGGCCGGTATACGTATCCTCCAGCTAACCATTTCTTTCAATTTATTCAATGAAAACTAGAGTGAAATTAGTAAAGATCTCTTTGCTTGAATGCATCCTCTATGAGAATTCTCCCATTGAACATCAGACAGGAGTCAACGATAAACAAAATCTGCGACAGTGGAATAAATCTAACGAATCTCTCCCCCCCCCCCCCCCAAATAATGAGGATGAACATTTCTTGAAAGGTGTCTTGATGACTGAGTTTTCCGTAACAAGAATATTCCGCATAGAATTGGTAAGGATGATGTATACACCATTTTCCAGAAAAATACAGGCGATGACCATTTTTTACATATGTTTGTTGCTTAACAAATAACTGTGACAATTCGTCTGTTTTTTTCGAACTCAGTAGTTTTCGGATATTTGTTGTCGAAATTATATTCTATCAAGGTTATTGTTCAGCGCTGAAAACGATTTACCAAATATTTTAAAATGTTTTGCTTCGATTCAAAATCGATAACAAACGTTTATGGACTATAAGAAGAGTAAAACAAAGACCATAAGCAAATTTGTGGAACTTCTTTAGAGCATAGATAATTTGATCACGGTTATTTTTTTGCTGGTATCAAAAAACGGGATGCATGAAGTAAAACGTTCACTGAACCAACTTGGAAAGTATGCGAGGTGACTTCTCCCACACAATTCAAAGGACTACGAAATTCATGCAAGATAGAAAACTCCTGTAATGACTAATTAATACCAGGAATAAACGAATGGTTGGAGATGGCATATACACAATAGTTCGAAACCGTTAAGGAATACGAAGTCGACCACGCGAGTCAAAAATGTAGCGAGGATAATGCATTAATTCTAAGAATGCCCACTTCTTCGCCCACAGGAGGGCACAATAGTCCGTAATGGGTGCAGGGACAGATTCAAATTACTCCTTGAGTTTATTTCTCCTTTCGACCAACTACCAAGATATTCGACCATGTCTTTCACTCCACTGAGTACATTTTGCATTATGAGTCGGAAGCTGGCATAGGCTGGTGTCACCCCGGATGCTGCGTGATGGTGGCAGGGTATTCATGACATTCTGGTTAGACCTCGATTTGCGTATAAGTCTCCGATAAATTCAACTAAGGGACTAAGTTCATTAATTTTTTCTCTTTGTCATCATTAATTACCTCTGGGACCTGAATCACTTGACCTCAATCCCAAAATTATGCTGGAGCACTAAAGTTCAAGCACAAACATAGTGTGACCTCATCTAGCTAATTTTTTAGTGAACCTTGAGGAAGAGTCGCCAGGTCTCAGTTTCTCCCAATCAGTAGGATTCGGAGCCACTTTACCACAATATTTCTCCCATTCCCAATTAACTGTAATCACCACTGAACTCCCCCTCTCTTTCCAGTTGTGGCGGCGTGGGGGGGGGGGATTGGAAGGATCTAGAAGGAACGGGCTACAAATTAGTTGGGGAAAAATAAGCATCTGAGCTACTGCAACTTTCTTCCAACGAGGATGGTAATGCCATCAACTATAGATATGCACTGTTAATGCTTAAAGACGTGTCATTTGGTGAATTTGCCAAGGAAGACGAAACCGCGCAACTGCTTCCTGAAATGGAATGGGGGGGGGGAGGTAACGTACACATCGCGGTCAAAACACTTTGTGCATGACTCATCTGTGGAGAGGAGGAATATTTATGGTATGCAAAAAGTGAAAATTTACTGAAAAACTTAGCGTTCCATATGCTTTATCTTCTCAATCATTGGAAAAGAAAATTAATAGAAATAACAATACCCATCATTTGGAGAAGAAGAGCTGAAGAACGTAGACAAGCATTTACCGCAGTCCAAAGAATGACACTGGAATTTTGGAACTCGAACCAACAATGTAGTAAATATTGCATCCAAATCGAATAAAAAAATCAAATAGGGTAGTTCTCTAACACTTGTCCACACCCCACCCACCCCCTCCCCCTTTATCATTCATTAGACTTTCTGTCTGAATCACAAATAATTATATTTTCCATCTCAGCGAACAAAATAAAGCGTTTCATTACCCAAACAGAGTTGACCTTGAGTAAGCTTCAATTAACGAGGGAAGTAAAAACGACCATAAATGATTAACCGGTCAGTAAGCACTGGGGTAGTGGAGGGTAAGAAATTGTTCAGTAATCCAGGAGACAAATCATGAAAATAGAATTTTTGAAAGTAAATAGCGCACCTCCTGAATTGTGAAAAATTAAAATAACCAACACTCGTTTAGCAAACTGCCTTTATTCTCAAAATACTAGCCAACCGCACCCAATGCGAGATTTATTTTGACTTCCTGCCGACCAACTTCAACTGCTCTCCAATGAAGAAAATGTTATTAGATTTTCACCTTTCTGCTAGCTATAAAATTTTAAAATTTGTCTGCGTCATGCACAAATGAAAGGTGTACATGAGAGAATGCGTGTGGAATTTCGGTGTCATCAACTCTTTGTAAATGAAAACGAGATGAGAAAGCACTGTCGGATCGACCACAGCAAACGCAAAGATGAACTATTAACTGGTATACTTTTTGTCCATAGATGAGTGTCACGGGAATTAGGTGAGATCAAATGAAAAATAGTCAACCAGATTCTCCTTCTACGGGCAAAATGGCGCGAAGGATAAGTCTAGAGGACTTCAACTTAAAACTGCTGTTGTCGCGATAATTCTAAAGCTTAGATGAAGTAGGATTTTCCCGAAACCCTGAATCTCACTTCTGGTCCACGATTTCTTCTTAAAATCTGAACATATCCCCCCCCCCCCCCTTATATGTTTGGGTGTTTGCCCATAATGAAATGTTGTAAAGGGTCTTAGCTTTGCTAAATAGGGAATGAAGTAAAAGTTAACAGTTTAAAATGAGAAGTTGATTCTACAACTGATTAATTTAGTGTCTAACATGAAAAAGTTAACAGAGAATACTAAATCGAGACACTATCCCTTTTAAGGGATTGCGTTCATTAAAACATAGATAACACAATGAACGCATAATTCCACGAGGTTACCGAAAAAAGAGTCACAGACTTCTCCACCGCACCACCTTTAAGATGCTTTGTTTACCACAAGGATGAGTGCTTCAATAACTCTGAGAATATGATATACATGGCCACTGAGAAGACGGTATCAAATCAACTACACGTAGAACAAATTTCTAAACTTTGGTCATCAACGCAGTATGACCAGCTTAAGTGACCCTAAGTTGACCGGTAAAAGAGGGTAGGTAGGACATCCCGAAGGCAAGACTCTTGGCCGCAACACTGGCATGACTAGATGCTAATTAAATGGTCAACCACAGTGGGTTTTTCTTTAAATTAAAAACTTAAGGATACCTCTCTTCTTCTCCAAAAATGTAAAGTGAAGAAATGGATGCTTACTGGAACATATTCATTAACGTGAATGACAAAAGGTACTAAGTGTGTTACTGATTAGAATTGAAGTTTCATAAAGGCGGCTATGGGATATTTCCATAAGCCCAGATAAAGTGGTGCTAAAATGGCCTGAAAAGTTTTCTTTTTTAATCTTGGAACTTATCGAAAAATCGAAACTTCCGTCTACTTTTACACAACTAAAATTGTTACCATGGCTGCATAAAAAGGAAGGAAAGAATACCAATCAATATCTTATAGCCAGACAGTGATTAAATAGCCGTACAATTCACGAGGGGAGAACGCAGAAAATTCTATCAACTAGTGGGAAAACGATACGATCACGGTGGGAAAATGAAATATTGAAATTAAAAGAACTTTAGGCCACCTATTGGAAGTACTCAAGGGGAAAGAATGGAACCAGTGAGATGGTACGAAGCACTCGACTAGAAAGATCGATAGAAACACGGACAAGCCTACTTTTAACGAAGTCCCATCCGGACGCGCAAATGGTTTAGGAAAGAAGACTAGTAGATGCATTCTGACATGTTAAGAATATAAATCAATGGGAGGAATATGTCCCCCCCCCCCTATGCATCTATACACCTTTTACAACTGGGACTCCCAATGGTCTTAAAACAAGGGCAAAGTCGGTACATAAATTCATGGGGTGGGGGATAACGATGAGCAGGGCTTTAGAGATCTAGAAAGTACACCCACTTCGCCTAGAGGAACTAAAGACGATGAGAGAAAGCATTACGCAGCAACGGGTAGGCTGGAAAATGGAATGCTGAACAGTAAAGATAAACTAAACGCGCACATTCTGATTTACTGTGCGTGTGTGTGTGTGTGTGCCTGTGTGAAGGAAGGGTATGGAGCCGGTACAGAGAAAGTAGAAAACAGCACATGCGCAGAGAGTAATAAAAAAGAACACACACACACACACACACATGCACGAGGAACAAAGTGTACTTGAGCACAAAAAATGAAGTGAAAAGAGAAAAAAACGAAATCCAGGTTCTAAAACCTGGTGTTCGCGCGACTTCTTATCTTACCCCCGTTCGAACTCAAATATCGCACATAAACACAGACCGAAGTGGTGCGATATTAGTCTAATACCGGGCGTAATGCATTGGGGTGTAGATAGTAAGAGCAAACAGGAGAACTTGGACAGACTCCTCAACAGTGTGGCACTACTAGTAAGGATAGTAAATGTGTAACATAAATTATAAACTTACTGTTCACCAATGGGTCGCCAGTCATGATACCCATGAACATGCCCACAATTCAAGTAAACATGGGGTTGGCTGCCTCCACCAAAAGTTGCACTGAGAGAAGAATTGGATGAGTAATTGTCATTGTAGGCGAACTTAGAAGGAACTCGTGGTCCACAGAACTCCTTGAATTGAAGGGTTTTGAGATAAACTGGACACTGGATATGAAGCTGATTGAGAATGTTGATCTAGAGCGGAAATAAAAAGGAGTACACGTTCAAAAGTAGATTGAAAGATGTTCCACGAGCACAATTAACAGTAGGGATAAGACAATAATACAGAAAGAACAAAGCTACTGGGATGCACTACCCATCGGTGAAGACCTAATGAGCGGTTTGGCCTTATTAATGAAGGTGACAGGATTCGAGTTTCTCAGTAAGGAGGCAGCATGACACTAACCCTCTGCACAATATGAGCGTTTAAAAACACTTTCCAAACTGACTTCGAAAATGCTGGTACAAATAACAATTTGAACTTCTAGAAGTCAATCTTTGCGAAAAATCTTTGCATTCCAACGCTGGCTTCGTAATTGACGAGAATTTACGATTTTGGACATATAAATAAACTAAGAAATACTTTAACATTGGGAAGTATGTAAATGCGGCATAGTACTATACAGCAACTTAGCGTAAACAATACAGTAATCGGATTGACAAGTTGTGTAAGAAATTATTTAAATCTACAAGATGTTATGTAGGTATTAATAACTTGAAATCGAATGGTATTGAAACAGTTAGAAAACCAAATGGACAAGATAGACGCAATAAATATCCAATTTTTGTAGCTCAGGTTATTTCGGAAATACGATTCTCTCATCGATTTAAAAAAAACGAATAAAAACAAAAAAAATGAACGGAAGACCCAATTCTTAGACTCCATTTCAGTCTAAGAGGATGTTAGGTGCAAAGAAGGACAATTCTGGCTCAAGAAATCGTTACTTTTAACAGACCGATATTTCTCCCTAACGTAAAATTTAATGCTTATATCATAAATATTAAAATTTTTAATTATTTATAACGAATCGACGTCTTAAACATTATTAGGTTTTGATGTGAAGTTGAAACACTAAGATAATTTTCAACTACATCGACTCAATTTATTTCAGTTCATATAATAGCGCGAAAGTATTATTGAGAAGAATACCAAAACTCACCATTTCACTAACATCGGTTAGTGTGAGACCATTTCTTAAACCTTCAGCTGATCGCCAAATTAGGATTGCCCCGCAGAGATCAATCAGTGTTCCATCCTCCAGCACATTATCCTCCTCCTCCACCTTTGAACATTACATAAAAATCAGCCAATCAAATTTATAGCTCGAGCAAAAAAAGAATTAGGCAGTATCGGGTGTCTGCTTACCCGATCAGTTTCACCAGGTACAAACATGGTGGAATGCAACCTGTACACATTTCCGCAGACGCTCACTTCCCGCCATAGGGAGCTGTAGACGAAGGAACAAAGAATGTAGAGAGCGGGGTAAAGAAAGTGTTCTTAAATTTTCAAAGCAACTTACGACTGTTCCTCATCTAAAGAAAAACAAGACACAGTACTGTTAAGTTTGTATATACTACTAGCACAAATGCTACTCAAATAACCACTTACCATTGAGATCACGTTTGAGCCACTGACTAGGTCGGAAAATGCGAACTCCATTTGTGGTGAACCCATCCATAATATCACTGTGTCGCCATTTACAGGCATTTTCCTGAAATATTGAAATAAACAATGACGCAGTTGGTGAGTAAAAATATGTGCAATCAACGCAATTTAGGTGAAAATCAGCTGCTGTCGAGACTGATAAAAGTCACCCACTTCGCTTACACATGGACAGACATAACAAACCAGCTCGTAAAGCAGCCAATAATGAAACTCTAGGCCAAAGGAGTTATCGGCAGTAAAATTAATCTCATTTAAATTAGTCGTTCTATCAATGCGTCACAAAAGCGAAGTTCCAACCGAAAATTATTGGAAAGGCCAACTTCTCTGCGAGTAGATTCAAGTGTAACTTGTGGTTCCAAAGCTGAAATTTGAAATTCTAGAAGATGTCTACTCTCACACCAAAACCATGTCCTCAACACAAAAATTTGTTCATTACAAAAAGGCAACAACGATGAATATATAAGATTTTCATCCTAAACTTTGACGCTTGGAGGCATGACGGTTAGCTTCAAGAAGCAATAGGGAAGAGCGTGACAAATTCCAGAGGTTGTAAAAAGGTAAACGCAACGAAAGTAGTTTCTGTGTAATAAGGCGGGCGTTACCTCAAAGCGCATTAAAGACCTGGGCAATTTAGCACAATTATGCAAAATGCGGAAAAAGAGGAGGCGATTTCACAAAAAGATGAAAATGAAAGCTGGGAGTGATATAGATGAGTAGTGAGTAATGTTTGCTAGGTAATAAGTAAGCACAACCTTTAAAAATTGAGTCAGCAAATTTTGACCATGAAGATAGAATTCGGAATTAAACCTTATAATCCTTTGCACTAAATGTATTCAAATACAGACACCCAAAGTGCGTGCTAGGTAAGAAAATGAAATGGTAACGTCTCTGTCTATGCCGCTTTTTAGTTCAAATTTAATCGATATTCCACTGTACTTCAAAGACATTTGGGGTTAATCCAGGACTAGGTGAGATCTTTTAAATCGATAACCGATTTTCTAATTACTGAAACATGCTCCTTTCTGTCCTTTACATGTTTTTTTCCGAATTTTAATTAATATCTACCTCCTCCTAAATGGGCTCAGTTTCTCGGCCATTTGTCCAATCCACTAGTTAAGAAAATGATCCCTTGCCATTATTATATCCTCCGATAATAATTATAATAATAAGCCAATTTATTTAACAATACAAAAGAGGGTATGAATGAAACAGTAGGATACTTTGCTTTCAAAAGTTTGTACATAGAGAGAGAGAGAGAAAAAGCTATGAGAGACTATGGGATGATCTTTATCGCACATTGCCAATTTTAACTCTGGGCAGCGTATAAGAGATCGCATATCGAGTTAGAACCTAATTTTCAGATGCTTTCATCAGCATGATAAATATGGGATAATGTTAGGTGCACAAATATATCTTTAGAATTGATTCTGACGTAAGATTTATTATACCTTACAAATACCATCCAATTTTCTAACCTAACTGCAATTTAGGTAGTGATTATGAATTCCCCCAATTAGCTAAAAAGTTGAATTTGAATCTTCTTCTAATATGACGGTAATTAAACTATTTGACGCTCTAGTAATTACGACCACTGATAGTAGATTAGAATCTATTTCAATGACTGAGCCTTCAAATTGAATCCCAGATAATATCATTTGCTTCAATTTTTCGCCCTAATTGGTCTATCGACAATTCAAGGCCATTTAGACGAGGGGAGCTTTCATTTTCTCTCACGAGTGAATTCCAGCCAACCAGAAACAGTTGACCGTAACCAATCAAACGTAGCAAATTACAACAGAGCGCAATTGCTTCCTTATTCGAAAATTGCGAGCGCCAACTTCCCCCCCTGTCCAGATCAACGGGCCCATAGACTAATCGGTGCATATTGTTAGTGATCGGAATGCACAACAGCCGAAATGGATTTTGAACAAACAGAAGAAAACTGGCTTGAATGTGGCAAGTCTCTTCCCCAAATTACGGTCCATCATCAAACGCGAAGACACATTTAAAGCTTCCTTATACTCTGCGACAGGGCTAATCATAAGATTATTATCTCGCAGAACCATGGCACGTGATTCCCATTGGGGAATTCGAAGGTCACCCTTGGGCTGTAGCAAAAAGCCTTCATAGTATTCTTATCCAAAAACTCCTTTTGAGTTCCCAGATTTCGATGAAAAGTAGAGAAATAATGGCTAAGGAATATGAACTTAGAAGCCAAGTAAATATCTGGTTTAACCCGGTTGTCGTGGTTAAAAAGCTTGGCACTTAAAGCATAAAGCCGCACTTCAGCGGAATTCTAACGAAAAGGAAATTTGTAAAGCTGCCTTCTGTATGTAGAAAGGCATGATATGCTATTGCACTCTCCATGAAGTTACCATCCATCAGGCGCCAACCTCAACAAGAGTCCCATGTAACCAATTTTCTGTTGCTTCGAGTCTTCCAAAAAAAACAAGAATGATAAAATTACAAAGAACGAGAATTTCGTCACCAAACACAAGGAAATTAATCGACGTTCGAGTGAACTTTGAGTTGTTAGGTATTGCAGAGGGTCAAACGTACATGCAAAGGGAAGCAACACGAAACATATCTAAAAACCGGGAGTACTCATCTTACCTTTCTATTTTTCTGCCTTTGTGTCTGTCTGTCTCTTTTACATCTGTGAATCGCTCTTCTGTCCCCCCCCCCATTTCGAATTTTTGTGACTCTGAAGTACCTCCCCTCTGTGAAACCCGAAATCAACTAAAGAGCTAATGATAACTATCAGTAAGCCTGCCATTTGCGATAAAGGAATATCTTAAATCTCTACCAATTATTTAAACGACGAAAATAGATCAATTACTAGTTACAGATAAAGTACTTACACCAAGGAAAATATTATTCCGTGTATCGAATCCCGCAGCATAAATGCGGGCCTCATGCGGATGTCTTCTATCAATATCGATTCGGCAGGCGAATCGAGAGACAGTGGACAGAGAGCCAGCAGGTTTCTTTGGCGTAGGAGAGGATCTGTCAAACATACCGAAGAAGATACTAGCTCGAGATCTCTCCAGGAATGAACCATTACCATGTCCATTCGATGTTGGACTCGAACGCTCAGTCGGTGAAGGGACATCTCCAATAAGGAAATCGATAATGGGTGATTTATAGCGTCCAATCTGTAAGATCAAAAGCAAATACCACAAGTCGAATAAGTGGAGGGAAAAATCATTAATTATTTTGACTCTTCTAGTTACTTAGTTTCTTCGGCAGGCCAGTAAGATTACCAACCTTTTGTCCTTGAGGAATATGCAAACACGGGAAGTGATAGATTACAGAGGGAGGTTCTATGGGGGAGGGGAGAGAAGTGAGCCTGAGAATTAGTACTCCAATTCGTCTTAGCTCTGGAATCATCAGGTCGACAAGTTTTTCCATTTGATGTTCTTTCAGATCTATCCCCTTTTTCGACATCCAGGTCTTCATATGGAGAATCTGGCCATCAAGTCTTCACCCATTTACTAGACAAAGGAGCCTACCGGTTGATAGTGCATATTTAGGTTTATGATAATCAAACCACCAGTGCCTACACATATTCCACATGTCACTTCCTTTTCACGCGAGGAACCCAGTTCATTGCTGGACTCAGCTTCTTTCTAGACGTTTACGTGACGTTATTTCTATTTCGTGAAGCAACTGCACTTCTCTCACAAAAGAGATTTCCATGGCTCTGACTGGCCCCACCCCCATATTTTCGGCGAACAATAACCCAAACTTCTCCACACGAAGGTTTGACGTATATTTGCATCATGATGTAAAATCCTAACACCACTCACCTCACAATAGAAAATTGTCCATAAATCGTACAGAAGAAATAATTCAGTGTTTCTAGGCGGTTTAATTAATAAGAGGGAAATGGCTTCTAACACAACATTTACAACAGAGACGGTGGTGGGGGAAGGACGGGAACCAAAGCCTCTTTGGAAAACAGATTTGGAAAATACTCTCTGCCGAATCAAAATGAAGCGAATTAAAATAATTCTTTAGGATTGCAGATAATCTACAAATTATCTTACGATTCTTCTTATATTCTAGTACTTACAGCTTAGCTGGCATTAAACTAAGGAAATGGGCACTTGGCGTTTGATAAGCAACTCTGCATTTGAATAAAAAAGGTGCAAATGAAAAAGAACTCGCAAGAGAACTTATCGTAAATTTCAATAACGAATAAAACTCGCTCACTGTTACATAAACCTCCTGAGACCCATAAAGCAATTTATGGCCTTGAGTTTGACATGACAGTTTTCGTCACACAAGAATGAACTTCTGTAGCGGCCCATTACCACCACAGGGTGCCGATAACTTGACATATTCTTTAAGCTTGCGGGGATTCATAAAGGGAATTAACCTTTCAATAATTTTGATTATAAGAGAGGGAGAGAGGAGATTAAACTAGCCACTCAGTTGAAACTGTAAAGAATACTCTCGCGCCAATCAATCAAACAAACCGGAATTAGTTTGTAAAATATGTAATTACAATAATACGCTAGACACAGAAAAAAGAACCAAGTGAAAGTAATTGAAATCGACATCATATAGCCCTTGCTTCAAAGATTAGGATATTTGAAGCTATACACAGGTGTAAAGTTCAGATACCCAGATTCTGGATTCACTACTGGGTCAGTTATAAACACATCGCGGAGTATATTGAGTTCTTCCTAATCAATTACAACTAATAAGTCGACCCATTTTAAACAAAAAACACAAGCAAGTGGGATATCCCAAAATTAATAATTTCTCACCATTGGAAACATGTACAGAGAGCTGTAAAATAGTCCAGTAAGGAAAGGAGGATAGTGGGGAGATCAAAAGGTAGAAAGGAATAAAGGATACCTGCAGAGCCTTGCAGTCCGTTCGCTTTATTAGGCTGAGCATGCAGCTCACAGCAACAGTCCATTCAATCAAATCTCAAATTTCAGGAACTTGAGTGAGTTCATGCTCAGAGCATATTAACTAGTTGGTTGAAAATGAAGAGTTGATCTTGCCAACCCGATACACACTTCTCCCACCAGAGTGTCCGAGGACTACTACTCTATACTAGATTGATATAAGAGAGCTAACTAGAGTTATCTGAAAATGTAATTCAATTAAATTAAAGAAGAATATTATTTTATTACAGTATTTTTCTAGAAAATAAAAAAAACGATTGGCAATGATTTGAAAGGAAAAAAATGCAACCGCCAAAGTCCTTCAAAACAGGATAGAAAATCTACGATCGTACCATTTGAAAGTAAACATTTATTTAAGACACGCTTAATGAAATAATTAATAATATAGCAGCAGGAGGATTTAATAATTAAATATTTGAGGATAATTAACATATTATAGATAAGGAAGAACTGAAACGATCCATGCAATCCCCCATGCATATCGATTTTGGCCAAATTCACTAAATTGATTCCTGCTGTTGGCCAATTACAAAAAGCCACAAAAAAGTAAAAAGTGCAAAAAGAGGCATACCTGAAAGAGATCAATGTTTGGATCTGGAACATACTCCACCACAACCGTATTAGTGCGATTGAAAGTATAGGAAACGGCATGTCGACTGGGATTTGTAACAACCTAACAACAAAATGACTAAATGAGAAACCAAGAATAATAAAGTTAAGCACATTGTCACACGAAGATACCAAACCATGAATACAAAAAGGTGAGCACAAGAAACAATTAAAGCGAAACAAACACTACAGTCGTATTTGGCGGCTAATACTTTTACATCAAACGTCCACGCACAAAAAAATTGAAAACAAAGTAAACCAATAGTACACGGACCAACTATGAAATCAATCAGGTGATCAAGTCGATCTCACTTTTAAGAAAAGCGGTTCTAGCCCAATTTGTAAAACTGTAGGAAATAAGATCAAATCAATTGTAGAATAGACCCAGCAACTGCACTAAACTAAAATAACACAGGATAAATGACAAAAACAAAATATAGAAATTGGAGCGAAAAATACGCTAGTAAATAATTTAAAGATATTCTCAACGTGAGGTAAAAGAGAAATTACAAGCAGACACTTATGGCAATGGCTTAAGATTTATTTCCACGCAAACAGCTCCTCAACTTTTTTCAGCACTGAATAAAATTAAACCAAATTTTGCAAGCAAATTAGAGGTGCGATTTCTTAAACTTTGTTTTCTAGAAATGCATGAATTTGAAGGGATAAGTGAGTATACATAGTGTTATATGCCTATATGTGATTCGATTATATCCAGTAATCATCAAAACAAAAATCAAATAGACCAAAAGGCTTTCAACTACCTTTAAACAAAGATATATAGAACAAATACCGCCCTATTTAATTTTTTTTGTTACTTTCATAAATATAATATACCAAGTAATGTGTTGAAATTGATATTCGGATCCACAGAACTATTACGTAATATAAAAGATCAAAAAGAGAATTACGAAATCCACGTTAATAATATGAATGCAATTCACTATTTAGTTGCTCTCCGAAATATTAAAAAATGGAGGCATTACATAATTAAGTTGAAGTTGGAAACTTTGACAAGAAAGTACCACTTATTAAAGTTCATTTCCGGGGAATTCAGCAAAAAGAACAATTGAAACTAGATAAGGAACTACCTTACGCAAACAAGCAAGTTATATGAGATTGGACAATACTAATCGTATTATGTTTTTGACTAACACAGTCAAGTGATCCACAAAACCACAGGGCAACATATAAACACCTAGAGTTAAAACAAACTATTCAGTGGTATGGCAAAAAAATTAATTACTGGTCGAAAGATAAACAATGTCACATACAAATTTTTGATAACACGAAGAAGGCAGAATTGAAACTATGCTCGGATTATTATCAGTTAAGAAAAAAACTAGGATGCGTACTTCGGATTTGGTTGAATCTGGGACGAAGGACACAGGACCTGGAGAGACTCCATTCGAAGTTGGTCTTTGACAAAGTTCCAAACATCTATTACCATTCTTATTAACCTCTGGTCTAGTGGCTGCCCCGTTTGTTCTAAAAATAAGAATGAGAAAGAACAAGAACGGTAATAAAACATAAAAATATATAAACTTATAAAAGGTACTGAGCATGTTAGTATGATGTTTTTTAATTTGAATAAAGTAAAACTAGATGTTAATATTTGGTAATAGTAGTAGGGACGATTACTTTTAAATACATAGTAAAACATTTAAAGTAGAATTAATTTCACTTAGCATAATAAAGTGAATGAACGCACCCTAGAAGAATGAGTCTTCCATAGGAAAGAGAATCCATTCCGGCCTTCTCTACGTTAAATGATTGATCTAAGTTCCTTGGACGAAAAGCTTTCGACTTTTTTCTGGTCATTACTAGTTTAAATAAAGCGCTCCGACCCTGAGTGAATTATTATTTATAACAACTCTACAAAGAAAGTGTTTTGAAGGTTAACTTAAAATAATTAGACATCTGGGTTTACTGATTTACGCTGACGCATTTCTATTAATGAAATGTTTAAAACGGTCAAAATATTAATAAATTTAATGACGATTAACCTAATATTCAACAATCGGACATTTCGAAATATATTTCATGTATTTGCAAAGAAGTACTAGTTCAAATATCTTATTTCAAAAGCTACTATTTTTGCTGTTTGTAAATGAAAAAATCTATTAAGAATTTCGAATAAAGTGATTTTAAGATGGCTATGAATTTGTGATTTTAAATATTATTCATGCAATATATATCAAGTACAGAAGACTTCTGTTTAAGAATAAGTTAACATAACCTTAATTGGGCTGAGATATGATAATTTTGCTAAGTTAAGGCACATTGCAGTGTCAATATAATTTCTCATTGATGATAGTATATTTATTGTTATAGGTATTGCGATTTCAACCTGTTTTATCTAACAGATCTAATGTGTAGTTGATTTTCGGTGAAGGGTACCCCAACAGTGGCTAACAGTGTGTCAGGCAATTCAAGAAACGCTAACTAAATGCATTCTTTTTATCGGCCTTGACGGAAACAGCCAAGGAATTAAGTTATACAATGGTAGATCAGGCTTCTTGCCTTTTTTTCCAAGCAATCAATTAAAATTTCAATGGTACACAATAATTTTGGTTGCTTGTAGTGTGGTTGTATGTTAATTTTCTGCTTTATTTTTGTATATCGTCGACGCATTAAATATTAAGTCTTATTCAATTTTGTCGTGAACATTTTGGCAATGATCTACCCCTCCTTATCGGATACCGTAACCGAACCTTAGGAATAAAATAAAATGTGAAATTACAGCTCGTCTACAAAGGCTACTAGCTTTAAATATTGTCGTTTTCACTGCGCTCTTTACTTCCGTGGTAGTTTTTTCAAGTTACTTCAATTTTGCACTAACTTCCACTTATTCAATTTATCTTCTATTATCAGTATATTAACTAACGGAGTGTGAGGCTGGGGTGGGTGAAATCTGTTGCATGCTCTACAAAGATGGTAATAAACAAGCAAAAAATCAATAAATAGAACACGATAGCACTATCACCAATAATAAATGAATTTATTGCGGTTAGAAAATTTCAGATTTTCAAAAAAATATCTATGCTCATATGGAGATAGTGAATCCTAATTTTAAACTCATTAAAATTAGATCTGCTTGATGTTGTGAAATGATGTTCTGCCCTCCAGCAATAAACAGTTCACTAACAATATTTCGCTAAGCCAAATTTCTTTTTTTTATTAGTAGGCAATCAAAAAAGACTTCTCTCCTCAATATTCGCTGAGGGATTGAACTAAAAGTCATCAATAATCGATATTCAACAATGGGGCAACTTAAAAATACGTTTTCTTGTACGCGAATTCCATCTAGTACATGCCCACAATAACACAAGGTCTTTATAACAAAGTGTTGAAGTTTTATGAGTAATAGCATTCGTGACAATTAACTTGTAATTTATTTAATCACAGTTTAGTGAAAAAGATTGAAAATAGTAGCATCGTAGTCTAGCCCATCACACAAGACATCTTTTTGATGAAACGGTTTATTCATTTAAGAGATCAACATTAATATAATAAACCACTTTTTCTAACAACAGTGGTTCTTAAACAGAATAAGAACCACTCGTAACTCCCCCATGAACCAGAGATCATATTATGAAATTGAGCTTTACAGAGCAAATTGTCAACCCTTATGGCAAAGTAAGCAACTTATTACTCTCAAAATTGTACTAAAGCCAAAGTTCACAACATTTGACTTCATTTTTTTGTGTTTATTCAATCTTTAATTTCATTCACAACTAAACTATTCAGGTGGTCTGCTCATCCAGAGGATTTTCTATGAGACGAACATAAAATAGATCTTTTAGACTCCAAGAGAAAATAAAGAGGTAAAAAGTCTCGTCATTGATTTTCATCTGAACTGACTCTGTTCAGAGAGTAAAAGTTCTTCTATTTGGCAAGACTGCGTGCTTATTCATTAACTAGAATTAGAAAAAAAATCAAAATTTCTCAATTTGAAATGAATTGCTTTTTCGTTTTCCAAAAAAGATCCAGCAAGCCATTCACCACAAACTCACTAATCATTGCAATAGTAAAGTCGGAAATTCTGCTGCACATTTTCCATTTCTAGAAAAGGAACAATTTTGTCTCCTTTTCTTCACACGAGGCCACTTTTTTCCCCTAACTACATCTCCAATGGTAATAGAGTTATCAACCCCCCTCCCCTCATTCCTTCCTAATTCGGGTCTGTAAATTATTAGATTTTTAAAATTTCTTTATAATTGAGCCCAATTAAGCAACAATGAGATGTAGGTTTCGTTTCGGTCTTGCATATATTTAGTGTAAAGTTTAAAATTGCATATTAAAAGACTGAGTGAGATGTGATGAAAAAACAGTTTTCAACTCCTGACTTCTACCCAATATAAAGTTAGGCATAGATTTTAGAATTGGTGGGGGGTGGGGTGAAGGGGGGGTGGGGGTGGGGGAAGAGGGAACGATTATGGCGTCTGGGGACTTTAAAGGCAGATGGTAAAGAAGTTGTGGGTGATGGGGTGTTCACTAAAGTCCTTGACTATACGAGTGGTAAAGTAGATGTTCATGGATGAAAAATCAGTGTACCGTTGAAATGATAAAAATACAGTGTGAGAGTCGAGCTGGAAAGGAAGGAGTAAAGACAAGGCGACTATTGAGTTGAAAAAGGGGGGGGGAGTTTTGGTGAAAAAAATCGTTGTAGGTGTGGCGTTAAGATCTTGCTGATCGATGGTGAAAATGAAATCGTCAATTGTTAAATCAGATAATGTAAACAGACAGTCATGAGAAAACAGTTCATAAAGTTAATGCTTTATACGAATAACCAATCGCGTTGAAAATGAGATCGCGTCCAAGTTCGGAGCAACCTTACGATTCTGAATTCAGAATACTTTCTGCCTTCAATAGTTGTTCAATGTTTTAGAGTGAAGTTCTTCACCTATCTTCTAACCCATTATGACTGCAGTTTTGTACTATTTCAAGCAATCCAATCTAGAAACAACTAAGTGACACAATTATGCACATATACATTGTACGAATTTTCCCAAGATAACACTTTATGAAGAGGTCAGGTGCGCATAAGCCCATACATATTTCTTTTAATGACCTTAAAATGGACATAGCAATCACATTAACATTTTTACCAGCCAATCGCACCACTCTTATGAAGGTGGCATCACATTTACTCTTGACACTTATTTTATACTCATCGTTCGATCTCACCTACCAGACTTCACCAGAGTGGTTGTCAATTCCAATAGCTGCATTTGCACAACTGATCCATGTCTTAGCATTACCCAAGTCCTTGGAGAATTCGATGATTTAGCCAATTCTTTGTTATTCCAAATGAAAGTATAACACTGAATTTGACATTTAGCGCCTTTCCAAATGGTATTTTTAAAAAACGAAAAATTGAAAATTCCTGCAAAACGGTTGAAAATTGGTGAAAAATTGAAAGATATAGTTAATGCCTATTTCTGGTTTCAACTACACAACTTTTACAATCCTTGAACAGATATGACAAATACTAAAATTCCCCTAGCGTCTATTTTTCCCTCTGAATTTATATAATGAAGTATTTAAATTTTTCCAATTTACCCCAATTGTATATGCCAATTTAGAAACAATTACTGGGCAACATTAGAATTTACTAATAAAGGAGAGTTTATCTTGAATTGAACCTTACAAGCTCTGCCTTGCTCAGTGTCTGCTAGTTTCAACTGTCTGAAAGTACCTAAAATCACAGGGAATAAATAATGAATATTGAGCTACAATACGTCTAGGCACTGAAAAGTTGAAAGGGGGGCCATTCAACGCCTACCGAAATTAAATAAAGTAGTATACGTTGGAACTTAACATCACTAATTATTTTTTTTCGATCTTCATAGGCAATACAATAAGTTCGTATTCTTTCTTGTGGCATTTTGGTTGGGGTAAAAATATTGGCATATTAACACTTATTTAAATGTTAATATATTGGAGAAAATATATGAATGAATCCCAAACCGTATTTCCACTTTTATTGGGACTGAATTAAATAGAAAAAGCCTTTTCTCAGTCGCTTTTTTTGTGAAGGAACACTTTTAGCTCTTCAACGCACTCACATTTGACTAACGGGATAAGTTTTGGTGGTGTATCAGCCAAAGGCTACATAGACACGTATTGAACATATTTCAAACGCCAATAGCGCCTTCTGTTACGAGTCTAGCCCCATTAGAGCTTAATTTGAAAGTGGCCCGCAAGGTCTTTAAGGCTTTAAAGAGTTAAGTCATCAACGAGATATTTATACCCAAAACTTCGCGAAAACTGATAGCTTTACAATTTTGCAATGAAAACACCTGGAGAAACTAAAGATATATTAGATATATATAAAGGGTTAAATATATCCTCAAAAGAATGTAAATTACCAAGCACACATAATTATGATATTTAACCTTTCTGCGAATATTTCATATTACAAATCTTTACGAAACTCTTTAGAGTTCCTGTTGAGCTACTTTAGTGACCTCTTCAATGTTCAAATAATGAGGATTAATTGAACATCGAAATAATGTAATCAACGAAGCAATGTGCTCTGACAAAGGAGAAGAGGAAACAGCTCAAAGTCAGCGAGGCATTAGTCATACTCTTGAAGTGAATGGCGAACAACCTGAATCAAATGAAGCACTCAAAGTTTCCTTGCCCAAAACCTTATTGAGCTAATTCGGTTTTCATTGAGCTCAAATTCCATTCCTTAATTCGAAAAATTGCATGGAGCGGAAATATTTTCTTAAATGCAGCAACAGCGATTTTTCTACTTTTCATAAAAGATCTGCGAATAAATGACAATCAAAGGAAGGCATTTGGAAGATTCA